AGGTTTGGTTGCATCGGAGGGGACGGGTGACCCGAAAGAGGTGACCGTGAACTCTTCTGCCTTAAAAAAGCAAGAAATCCACACGGGTCTGTTTCAGGGGCACCTAGAAAAGCCGTGTGGCAGTTCGGCTCCGCTGCCCTAGAGCACCTGTTCAACTGGACGCAGACCTGCCTGGCTCTAATTCAGCTGGCCAAGAAGCTTCAGCATCACGAGAGCAGCGCTCCTTCCTCCTCGGCCCTGCTCACTCCCACCTTGTCCCGATCCCTGAGGTCCTCACAGATCTCGAGCAACCCAACTACCTCTCTTGCTTAAATCATCGGTGGCCAGTTGCCGGAGAAGGCAAACGGGAGGTGCTTTGAAGGTCCACCTCTCCTTCCTGCGCCTCACTCATCAGAGCCCTTGTTGGTCCAGAGGTTCACTGTAAGCCCTCGCTAACCCTATATATATATATTTTGAAGATCGCCTGCTGGTTTTACGTTTAAGACCTTGGAGACCACCATCCCTATCAATGTCTGATGTTTGTATAAACGTGGCTTTTTAAAAAATGAAATGACACTCCTTACACGTCGAGCCTAGACATTTCTGACGGTCACTGGGAAACAGGGGACCTTAAGAGACCAGGTGGCTTGTTCTTCACTTCCGTTTAATTCTGCAAAGAAAAAAAAAACCACAAGAGTGGATGGGGATTAGAGGAGAAAGAAATTACAATAGCGTACCTCCGGTTTTACATAGTTCATGGAAATGATTAAAATGAACATCCAGAAGGAAGAAAGACCTCCAGACCTGGGAGGGTGCCTTTGAGCAGCAGAAATGTCTCTTTCTGGCGTCCCCCCCTTTTTTTTCTTCTTGGTTTTGTTTAAATCATTCACAACTGGACAGGCTGAAGAAGAGAGCGCTTGTGTTTAACTTTATTAAAAGAGAAAACACACCTGGAGGCTCGTTTTACAATCGGCTTCAGCTTGAGCGGACAAAAAACACTTGAGCGCTCCGATGCGAGATTCCATCTTTGCCATCATTTATCTCTCGATGGAATCTTTTTTTAATAAAAGTCCGGGAAATTAAAACTGTGTCCCGGCCCCACCTTCCGTTCTTTTTAGCCGACAAAAAAACCAAAACGGAACAGAACTCAACAACGGCGTATCTAACCAAATATTTGGTAGTTTTGAGAGTCTAAGTTGCTTTTAACATTCCCTGATAAATTGATTATAGCGTTATTACAAGGCTGGATGGCTTCGATGATCTGACGTTTACTCCAATAGCAGGGTGTGAATATCCGGAGCAGGGCAGGGGGAGGTGAGATTGGGTGGGTGGGTGGAGATATTTTAAGTCGTTTTCCCCGTGGTATTTCTGGAAACAGTCCTTAGCCATCGAGGGACATCAAAAAGTCTCAGAATTTTTGGAGCAAGAAATTCTACATGAATAAATAGCCCTTTATTTCTTAACGAAAGGAAGAATGGTCATTGTGTTCGTACATAGCTGGCAGGTGTCTCTTTAAAGGGAAATTTATAATACGGGTTTGTAGGCTGCTTGGGAAACTATCATCCATGCAATTCTATATGGATCCCTCTTTTACTGTGTGGTCTGGGGGGGCCGGATCCTGGCCTTTTCCTCTGCGCTTCTGGCGTGGATTAAAACAAGTCACAGCAAGCAAATCGATTCGGCCTGCAAACTGATTATAAAGTTTTTAAAAAATCAATGTATTGCCTAAGTTTCACTGATTATTTGCACGAGATTTAAGTACCTTTATCAATTGAATTTAGACGCAGATGCTCCCTCCGTATTTATTTCTGAAGCAAAAGGTGTACATATTTTCTTTGATGGTGGGCATCCTTTTAGAAGAGGTGCTCATTTTTTGTGTGAGAGGAAAAAGGCTTCTTAAATTGGTACCGGCTTTTTTGCCTTGTACCGTATATATATTTTTTAAACCATCGGCTACCCCTTTATCCAGGACTGTTTCCGCCTGCTTTTTGAAATCAGTGGGTCAAGCCAACAAACAGCAGAATTTAGCTCGGGTGGATCCAGACCCCTTCTTTAAGGAGGTCTGCCCTATGTAGGATAGTGGGTCACCTGTGTGTGTGTGTGTGTGTGTGTGTGTGTTGGTCTAGGCAAACACACCTTTATCTGTGTGCATTTTGTGAGTTTGCCTAGATCTAGGCACATACACACATTGCCAGGAGCACTCTCTGTGTGTGTATGATCTGATAGTTGTGTGTATTTTGTGTTCGTGTGTGTGCCTATATCTACGGACACACACACACAGACAAGAGATCGCTAGAGGCTGGATCGGGATCCGTGTGTGTGTGTGCGATTGTGTGCCCTCGCCTCGGGGGCCTCCTCCTGAGCATGTGCAGAGGGCCTCCCGCTCCCGGCCTGAGGGGGGCAGCCGCGTCGAAGGCCGCCCAGCCGTTGGTGTGTGGGTGTGGGGGGGCGGCCGACGGTGGCGGCGGCCTTTGCGCGCAGGGTGTGTGTGTGACTGTGTGAGAGAGAGAGACTGTGTGTGTGTGTGTGGGGGGGCTGGGGGTGTGGGGAGGATCCAGCCATCCCATCCGGACGGGGGCGGCGGCGGCGGCGGCGAAGACGAAGACCGGAGCCCTCCTTCTCCTGCCTGCCTCCCCGCTTGCCTGCCTTCTTTTGCCCGGCGGGCGTGAGGCGAGGCCCGGCTCCGAGCAGAGGCGAGGCCCGAGGCCCAGAGCGGGCCTTCTAGGCCAGGCCGCCAAGATGGCGGCGCCGAGCAAGCAGTGAGTTTGCGTGTGTGCTTGTGTGTGAGTATGTGTGTGTTGCGGGGTCGGGTGGGGGAGAAGGAGAAGGGAAAGGAAGCCCCCCCCTCCCAAGGAAAGGCGGTCGGGCGGAGGAGGAGGGGGGGAAGAAAGGGCGCCTTTTTGGGGGGGCTCGGGAGGGGCCTTGACGAAAACCGCCCGGCGGTGGGGACCCACAGAAAGGGCGGGAAAAGGGGAAGGGAAGCTGAGGGGAAAAAAAGAGGGGCCCGCCATTGGGGGGGGCGGACGGGCGGGCAGGAAAGCGAAAAGGTGAGGGGCTCCCCGTGGAAGACAAAGATGGAGGCCGGGGCGAGGGGGAGCGGGCGGGAAAGCCTCCAGCCCTCTATTTCTTCCTTCCTTCCTTCCTTCCTTCCTTCCTTTCTCCCAAGTAATCTGTGTTAACGTGGGAAGCTGTCTCTTGGTTTCTTGAAGAACAAGGGGGCTTCTGAGCATACCTAGAGTCCTCCCCCTCCTCCTCCCGCTTCTCAGGAACCCAGTGGTATCCTGTGGGGGAAATGGGGGTGACTGGGTAGGTGAGTGAAGGGAGGGAGGGGGAAAATATATATGGGGAAAAACATACAGGTATTTTTTTTCTTCTTTGGGGGCTTCATTTAAAGGGAGGGAGTTTTGTTTCGACTACAACGCCCATCCTCCCTGGCCTGCGGGCAGGAGTGACTTCCAGAGGTTGGTCCACACAAAGGGGACGAAAAAACGCTATAAATAAAAAAGAAGGGAGGCCCGCCTACTGTTTCCTTGTTAGTTTCTAGAGGGGTTGTTTAAAAATAAGTTTTTTGACCTTTCAGCCTATGAATGAGAAATGGAAACACAGATACTGTATAAAATCATAAGGGAAGCAGGGGAGGGAAACAGTTACAGAAGAAGTTTGCTGTAAAGACCTTTGTGTCTATAAAATTTATAGATAAAAAAATGGCTGGTGTTGGGAATACTTTTTAAAAAGTACCTTCAAAATGGCTCTGAGGCAGCCTTAATACCATTTAGGTATTCAGCATTTTAAGAAGAGATTCTTCTGCATCAAACTGTATTAAAAGAGAAATAAATAAATAAATAAATGATCCCCCCAGCCCTAAATTTTATACAGTGTTTATTTTTTTAACTTTGTTTTTGTTTTTTTGTTTTTTTGGCTTGGGTTAAACTACAGGATTTGGAACATTCTTTAGAAAAGCAGGAGGGGAGAGAGATATTATATGTTTCATGTCTCCTTGGTTAATTTTTTTAAATGAGTGACATTGCAAGATGATGCACAAATTGGAATAGATAGACAGGTAGATAGATATAAAAGCATAACAACGAATGTACACAGAAGCACACAATAAATATGTTTATACAGGAGAAAGAGACAATATGTAAAAAACTGTTTGTTAGTCACACATACCCTGTTTTCCCGAAAATAAGACCTACCCCAAAAATAAGCCCCAGTTAAGTTAAACCCCACCCTTCACCCTTGTGCAGCAACCAGAAGAAGATAATGTGTCTGTATTTGAATAAATGTAGCTTGTTGTATATGAAAAAATAAAACATTTCCTGAAAATAAGCCCTAATGAGTTTTTTGTAGCAAATATTAATATAAGACACGGTCTTATTTTTGGAAAAACATGGTATATATTTTAGTGATTAGTATTAGTTTTCATTATCTGTGTATGTATGATGGATGCACATATGACTTTGTAGTCTCATAAAATGAACAATCTAGGCAGTATTGCAACCTAAAACCGATAGAAAACAATGGAAACCATGAAGTTTGATATTAAATATCCTGTCTCTTGAAGCTACCCTCTGTACGCCAGATGGAGGAGGACAGAAGTTGCAGCGACTGGGGGTACCGACTGTGTTTTGGAAATCCTAGTCAACTCAACCAGCTGTCAGAGCGTCTGGGAGTTGTAGTCTAAGAAGATCTAGGGCAGCGGTTCCCAATCTTGAGTCCTCAGATGTTCTTGGACTACCACTCCCAGAAGCCTTCACCACCTGCTATGCTGGCTGGGATTTGTGGGAGTGGTAGTCCAAGAACATCTGGGGGACCCAAGGTTGGTAACCGCTGATCTAGGGCAATGTTGCTGTACGCGGCCGTTGGTTTAGGTGCGCACAAGGTGATGTGCCTTGTTTCCTAAGCTGTCCATACATATCTCTTACATTATTCTGCACATTGTTTTAAAATAATTAGGCTGTAATCATTTGCTAAGACTTTGGAACATGGATTCAGTTGTCATTTGTCTCTTTGCAGATATGGCCTCATATTCCCAAAGAAAGCACAACAGAAGACTTTTGTCAAACATGCTGTCTTTATGGATGACTCTGATGAGGAGGTTAGTTTCCTCACAATTTGCTCCATGCGTTACACAAATATCGTACTCTAATTAATCTGTAAGCTATCCAGCACTGCTTCGCTTCCCTTTAATTGTTTTAAGAAGGCATGATTTTACTCCAGTAGCTTCTGCATATAAATGTATGGGCATGCACCATTGTATTGAGGAATTTCAAATTAATATGAATATGTTTACAGTTAGTATTTCTCTTCATTTTTAGGAAAATTGTTGCGAACTGAGCGTGTTTCATGATAGCTAGTTTATACCTGGCCTCCCTGAGTTTCATTCTGTGACTTACCTTATTCAAAACCTGCTTGCACTCTCGTTGTTTCATTGTGATGGTGAGGTATTCTTGGGCTCCTTAAAGCACTGCTACTTCAAGTAATGGTTGTGTGAAGTTATTACATGAAAGAATGGAGAATTCCATTGTCTTTCAGGTAGAAATAGGCCAACCTGAGCACATAAAATTCAGCACAAAAAAAGAGAGAGAATTGTACAAACAGAACAAGGTTGGTCCTTCAGAAAAAGTGGTACTAAATGATTATTGCTAATATAACACCTGGATGTTTGTTGCTTGGTTTTGAATATGTTGCGTACCAATTAAAAACCTCATTCTGCAATATTGGAACCAAGTTGCATGAAAATAAAAGAGTCATCGGCTCTATGAGGAAAATGAGTGCCAGAAGATCCCGAGGGGGTGGACTGAATCTTCGCTTGCCTTATCACTTAATAATAGTCTCGTGCTATTAAGTCAGTTCCAGTTTAGGGTGACCTTTTTCAGAGGTATTCTAGGTATAATGTACTAAGAAGTTGTTTCCCCTTCTCTTCCTCTGGGGGGGCACCTGGGTCTAACGTGCAGCTTGCCCAAGGCCCCCCCCCCGGCACTTCTCCCCAGGAGGCAAAGTGGGGCAATCGAACTCCCAAACTCTGGCTCCCGAGCCAGAAACCTAAAACACTGAGCTTATCCAACCAGCTACAGTACTTTATAATTTAGCTTTTTAAAAATCCAGGGCTGGATTCTTTTCCCCCAGTAGAGGGTGCTGCCTGCTTTTGTTTAAATATCTGTTGTTTCTATTACACTTTACGAGTGAGCAGACAATTTATGCCCAATGTGGAAGAGCTACACAAATATTTGTGAATATATTTTCACACACACAGAGGTGCAGCATATCTTCTTTCCATGCACTTACCAATCGGCTTTGTTGTTATGTTCCAGTTGGAACGACTTTCAATGTAACGTTCTGGCTGGGGCCAAACAATTGGTTTCAGGCACATGTAAAGAGCCAGGGGTTGAGTTCAGTTTGCTGTGTCACACTAAGCGGTGGTTTAGGAGCACCTGGGGGGGCGGTGGCGGTGGGGGAGGCTGTAGATCAGTCGCAGCATTGGTGTTGGGGGTGGATTAGGAGCACCTGGGGGGGCGGTGGCAGTGGGGGAGGCTGTAGATCAGTGGCAGCATTGGTGTTGTGTATAAAAAGCCACAGGCCCCCATCCCTAGAAGCCCGGGGAGGGGGGAAATCAGTTGTGGAGTGTGCGTGCGTGTGAGTGACGGTGAGATGCAATCTGATGAGGAAGTCTTGAGAGCTGCATTTTTCACATCTCTCAGATTTTGTGGGTCTGATGAAGTGTGAAGCCGTTGTCGTGGGGACCCTGCACTTCTCTAGAAGTTGTTTAGCTACCGTTCCTGCCACGTTTCATCCCGTGAGCTGTGCTAATGAAAGCCGACAGGCGTTATAGCCAAACTTTTGGCGGCACGCATAAGGGAAACGGGGCAGGTCTTAGCACCATCCTGCACTTCTCTAGAAGTTGTTTAGCTTCCGTTCCTGCCACGTTTCATCCTGTGAGCTGTGCTAATGAAAGCCGACGGGCGTTATAGCCAAACTTTTGGCGGCATGCATAAGGGAAATGGGGCAGGTCTTAGCACCAGCACGTCCCCCCCCCCCGTGAACACAGCCAGCGCTTCATTAACCAGCAGCAGTCTGCCGCTGGCACTTACACAGTTTCCTTGCTGCAGACATAAATTAGGAGTACATAGGATTCTGTCTGCTATATATTTAATGGCATTTTAAGATATAATTTATGAAGCTGTCCATCTCTCCCCCCCCTCATTTTGTAATGTGTCTTGTGTCCCTTAATTGAGAGACATGTGGGATTCAAAGGAAACAAAATAAATGATAATGTTTAGTGTTCATTAGGAAGGCATTAAAGTGCTCGCCCTTGTACCGGTGGATGTATAAGGTCATTAAAAGGTTCTGAGTGGCAGATCTGTGTAACTAAAAAAGTTTTCTAGCAACGTCCTAGGGGTTGCATTAACTAACAACAGTCTTTCAAGTATGCCATTAACCCCTCCTCTCTTCCTTCAGAACAGTATAGTCTTGGCTAGATCCTTTTTTGCTGATAAAAATAGGAAATGGTTTACTAACCTGTAGTTTTTATATACTGCAGAAGTAGTCTTTTCACCTGGATGCACCATTACTGACAGGGTTAGGTGATTGCCCATTGGTTTTGAACAGCATTAAAACTTGACAGTGGATGGCTTGAACAAGCCGTCTTGTCAGCCAAGAGAACAACCTCTTAATGCCCTTTGATCAGGCATGGTTTTGCAAAGTATGGGGGGCAAGGACTATCCTACAGAACATCCCATATTATTTCACAGTCCACAGAGTAGTAATAAATCCAGCTATTGCCTTTATCGTCAACCAAAATAAAAAGAGATCATTTTAAAAAAACAAAATTACTTTATTAGTTCAGTAATAATTTTAGGCCTTTTCAGATAAGAAGCTGTGTTTGGGAGGGGTTTCATTTCCTGCTCGCTCCCTTATCAGCAAAAAGTACTCCGTGCATGTCTGAAGATGGTGTATTTATAACTGAACTCTAATAAAGTCCATGGCGGCAAACCTACGTACCTGACTTGGCCGTGGCGATCAAATATTAGATAGAAAACTTTTGTTCCTTTAAAAAAAATGTTAACTATGCATATTTTATTAGGATCGTCTTCTGAGCCTGTTAGTATTGAGAAGGAGCCGTTCGCTTGCAATTCTCAGTTTCTGTAGCAAAGACGGAGTTGAGAGGAATCTCTGCCAGAGGTAGCCAGACTCTGCAGGGTTGCAAACCGAACAGGGCCAAAGTTATTTACCAATGTGCTTCATTGTTAACAATAATTTCTTACACTGAGGCAAATCTTCAGAAACGGGTTAATAATAAACGTTGAGAAATAAAACAATAAGCCCATTTTCTATAGAAATTGACATGTTTTCCTCAGAGTTTTATCTAGAAAAAAGTAGCCCAGGTCTCAGCGTGATCAGACAGGCTGCAGTCCTGTACGTAATATGTCATCCAAGCTTACCTGTGAGTAAGGTCCACTGGAAATCAAGCGTAAAATGATTTGGTTTTCTTGAAGCAGTGGGGCGTGAGTGCTTTCTTGGTGAACAGCACCTTGCTGCTGGCTAAAAACAACCGATCAGTCTGCAGAAGCACACCAGGCGTGCTTTTCCCCACGGCAGATGAGATAGATGCTCAGTTCTTTAAAGATGTGGCCAAGTCTGTTTTCAGTACTCCCCTGTACAAGCAGACAGAGAAAAGTTTTTGGAAGTGTCCTTTAAAAGAAGATGTGAGATGGGTCGGTTTGATCGCCCGCCTGCCCTTTTGATGTGTACAAAGTGTGCCTATGTGTGCATTTCCCATATCAGAGTGGCTGAGGGAAATAGCTTATGGCTTCTCTCCCCTCCCCACCCCCCCTCCCCAGACTCAGATCCACTTCTGCTATATCAGAGTGGGCCTGGGTGGGGGAGAGGGTGGATATGAAGTTAGCACAAACTGGAAGGAGCCAAAGGAAAAGAAAGAGTGATTTTGGTTCCCTTTAGGGCCCTTTCCACAAGTTAGGTGGGAATGGGCTCCAGAAAGAGAGGGAGAGAGGTATTCGGATCACCTCTAGTCTGGTCTTTGTGCAGTGCCTTTTTTTCCTCTGTGGGCCCGTCTCTTTTCTGGAGGCAGCAGGAGAAGAAGGAAAATGCAGCGAATAAAATACAGTCATGTTTTGGGGAGATCATGTCGCAGTTGCAACCTTGGGAGCAAACTCTGCAGTTCTCTTTCTCTCTCTGGATGAGCACATTTCATGATGCTTCCACACAGGGTTCAGAGAGCCTTCCCCCCCCCCCCCAAGGTATAAGAGCTCTAAGCTTTGTGCCTACAAAAAAAAAATACCCTGCTTGTGGGCAAAAAAAGAAATCCCTCATCAGGTTTCTGACTTTGTGTGGTTTTTTAATAAACGACCTGTTGATAAGTAGAAATAATACAAAAGTACAGGAAGTTCTCATCTATCAATCCTCGCAGCACAACAGGAAATTGTCACCCATAAAGCCCTGGAAGAGGTGTTTGTGTTGGCATTGTTTTCCTTAAACTTCCTTACCAGCTCGCCAAATAAACGGCAGGTGGACCTCTTGAGCTGTTTTATTTACCCAAATTGAGGCCGGTATCTTACTTTTATTGTTTGTGTATCTCCAGACCCCGCAGCCCACTTGCAGCTTACAGGAAGGTCTGGAGAAAACTGGTGGTGGTTCTTAAATATTTTTATGTCGGGGAGAGAGGTTTATGTAGGAAGATAATTTTTATCTTCTCTTCTCTCTGAAATTCTGGTGAGATACTTTGGAGTCCTTTGCTTCTAGTAAACTTTGCTGCCTCAAAGTCTCCATGTAGGTGGTGTGTCTTCCTTTGAAGCTTGAGAGAGGGATTTCTTAATCAGTCACATCAGGAAGTTTACCTCCGCCACCCCCATGTCAAAATTGATGTTTAGATTGTATGGATTTGATTTAGAGCGTGGACAGGGCTCTGGAGAAGGAAGGGCTAGGCCTTCGTTTTAGAGCATTTTCTTTGCACGCAGAAAGAATATCCAGGTGCTGTCCCTCCCTGGCCTCCCTGATGATGGTAAAAATGTTGGTAGTGGAAGAGCTGCTGTACAAAAATATCATTTTGCCAAGGCAAGGAAGCAAGAAGAAAAAGTGTCTCTTGAATCTGTAGCCTTTTGCAGACCACTGTATCCCCTCAGTTCTCTTTTCTAATGCATGCATCAATGAGATGGCAAAATGAACTCTTACTACGTCAAACCTCACAGGGTTGTCATAAGAAGGGCGAGGTATCCCATATTGAATTTACAGAAGGAGAAGCAGGATATCATAGGCAAAACAGACACAAAGGGAATGCCTTTGGTCATGGCCTTCTGTACAAAACTGTGCATGTCTACCCCTAGTGTTGCGTAAGGAGCCGGCTACACTAGCCTTTTCCAGTTTCGTTGGAAGCTTTTTGTGGAAGAAGCTGGGAGCATTAATGTGATTTTCTTTTGTTACGAATTAGGGTGAGTGCTTCACAGAGAGGGGATTAATTTAATTTAAAAAGAGGGAGAGAGAGGTGTTACAGCACCCTTCACCTTTCTTCCACCTTGCCAAGATGTTGAATATCTAATGGCTAATCTTCTTGAGCGAGGGGTGAAATGAGTGCTGGAATGTTTAAGCAGAGCCTCTTTGGTTTTTTCAGGTAGAGTCTCTGGAGATGCCACGTAGAATTGAAGCAGAGATGTATTCAAAAAGTGTGTAAGACGTTACAACATCCCAGGTGGCATTTGGGCCTCAGGGGATGGAACCTTGTGAGCGAGAGAACGGAAGGGGATGGCTGTAGCTTCAGGGCTGAGGAGGTGTGTGGTAGAGAGAGAGAGGGGGTCCTTTTCTGAAGCCCTCTCCCCATGCTTCTCCCCTCCCTGCCCTGCCATCCACAACTGGGGCTTTGATTTCAGGCAGGACAGAGTTGCATTCAAAGACCCAGCTGGTTTTCCACATCTCCACCTTCCTCTGAAAGGGATGCAAACTCTCTCCCCCTAGGTGGTAAAGAAAATGTTTCTAACCTGAGTGTCTGGGCGGGTAGTGGCAGAGAAACCGGGTTGTGCCTGGTGCTTTGTTCTCTGGAACGGCACGGAATCTCCTGAGTTTTAAGCCTACTTTTCGTTTCTTGGTCATACGGCCACGTGACAGAAAACTGGGAATTGGCTCTCGCGTTAAGAGACCGAGTTCTAGTCAGTTCCATGAAAAGTTATCTGAGTTGTCCCAGTGTTGCACACCTGAATGGGAACGCGTGGTGCCCCTGGTGCTTGAGGAGCATTTTTGAGCCTTAATGAGTTGGACCATCTGGGGCTGCTTTTTTGTCCAGTGGCAGGCGGCGCGATGCCTTTGGGACGTTTGCAAACAGCGTGTGAAGTGCCTCCCTTTGCTGCTTGTCCTCCGTCCTTGGTATGCAAGGATAGATTTCCCTGATGAGAAATGGCTTTCCCTTTTTATCCGTCTTCCCCTCTCTCTTGCCAAATTACACCTGAGCAGTTCCTATGTTCATCACCTTAATTGCACAGGCTTATTCAAGCATTGGCTTGGTGCTTGAAGGAGCTGAGAAGTCCGTGAACTGGAATGGAAAAGGAACAGGATATTTACGTCCTAGTAAATGTGATGGGTCAGATGCCCAACCATGCCATATTCTTTCGAGTTAGCCTAAAGGCAGCGCCCTTGTCTTAGTGGTAAATTTTTAAGTACGATGCAGCCGATAAAGGGGTTTGACTGAAATTTGGTGCTTCATCAGTATCATTTAATGCTATAACTGGTGTCCCAGATAACAGTTAAGCACATATGATTATCAGTGTTTTTATTATTGCAATAATTGTTTGATAAGACATTAGAGGATGAGGATGATTTCAAGTACTAGGAAATGATTGATCAAGATTATGAAGTTACTTTAAATAGGCAAACTGGCACAGGCCAGTCTCGTATATAGAAGAAACAGAGCAAAACCTAGTATAGTTTTTCTTTAAATGGTTTATCTTTTGTATTCCGGGACAGGATTTCCAGGTTATGTAAGTTAGATGTGTTTATGCTTATTGGACAGTAGATTGATTAGAGGTGGATAAGGATGTTGTGTGTAAGTGAAGCATTTGTGTACTTAAACCTTTTGCTCCATCTGAAGAGGTTTGCACTTCTTAGCTATTGTCTTTAAAAAAGGTCCTCTCTTTCAACAACAACAAAACCCCAACACAACTTAAACATCAGCGGAGTGCAATTAAAAAGCTAGGTAAGTTTTGTTGACAGCCCTGTTTACTGTCAGGGGCAAGAGAAATAAGGCAAACAGCCTTTGGAAGAGTAAACTGATAGTTAAAAGTCTGCCTGTCTGTCTTTTTGTTTGAATTTGTAATGTGCCATGGTGAGTCAGCTTTTTCCACCTTTTTTGCATTGGATAACAGTACAAAATAAAAATTACCAACTACAAATTTTCCATTAAGGTTTTTTTTTGGCATTACAAAGTGCTGGTGACACCATTTCTCTCTCTTTCTCATTTGTATGAAGAGCTAGAGCTCTATATGAGTCATGAGAAGACTGGAAAACTACAAGAGCCGCCAGCATGTCAAAAAAGACATTTTTCTTCTTCTTACCTTGTCACCTGGATCATGGCCACGGGGGAATATTCGATAACTAACATTCTGTAAACAAGTCGAATGATGTCTTTAGTTAATTATACCTCTTTGCAAACAGAGGAACTTGGAGACCCATCTGCAGCTAAGGAAGAGCCAGAAAGCAGGAGAGAAATGAGATGGGCGTCACTGCGTTAGAAGTGAGGGAACTGCCTTCTGCCCCAAGTGAACAGGATCGCGTCCATTGCCGCATTCTGTCTATGGTGTAGCCTCCTTGTGGATGCCGGCCTGGTTAGAACATGCTTAGTAGGGCATGATGACCGTCCAGCACTCCCTGCCAGGTGGAGGGGCATCCCAGTGCCACTCCTGAAGCAGTTAAGAGTTATACGCAATGAGGGTAGGGGACGGGGGGGGGCTGAGGGCAGCTGCGGCCTTGCAGGATTTCGGGTGGACACGCACGGCCCAACTCTGATCCACAAGAAAGGGTTGAGCTCCTCTGCCTTCAGGGTCCAGGCTCTCTCTTCGCCTCAGCTTCCATTATGGATCATGTACCTACATGATCTTACCTTTAACCTCTCCAGGGAAGTCGTTCCCCACACAGTGAACAGATGCTGAATGAGAGCTGGCAGTTTCTGTGCCATCTTTAAACACATTTACTCTTCAGTCTCCCTGCATGCATCAGAGCTTCATGTATAGGAGGAGGTGTTCTTCAGGCTCCATGATGTGTGACTGCATACTCATTTTACCAATGAAATAAAGAGTTTGATGCTGGTTCATTTCCTCAAACAGGCTTCGTATTGTGCAATTGTTGCTTCCGCCCCCCCACCCCCGGTCTTTTTGGAACGTATGATTCAATTTTTAGAGACAGTTTTTTTAAATTTATCTCCTTGGATGCAACTGATGGGTCGTTCTTTGAAGATTTCCCATGCGTTCTTAAAAATGTCTTTGGACTGTTTTGAAAACAGATAATCTTTCAGGCCCTTGTAATGGTCTCATGGAATTTACTGGGATTGACTCTCAGGGAAGCATGCATAGCCTTGCAACTGTACTTAATGATATATTAAGCAGGCTGTGCCAAAATAAGGATAATTTATTTTATTTGTAACTTATTTTTATTAATTTTTTTTTTCATGGCAGTCCTCAGTGGGTGAGAGTCTTCAGCGGGAAGCCTTGAAAAAGCAAGCGATGAAACAGGTAAGTCACCTCTGTGTGTGTGTGTGTGTGTGTGTGTGTCTGTCTGTCTGTCTGTCTGTGTCTATGTGTGGGTGTCGCTCTCTCTCTTTGCCTGCATGTCAGAGGTCTTTCTGGCTAAGAGTTGGACCAGAGAGAGAGAGAGAGCCTTCTGTTCCAGGGAGCCTACTGTCACATTCAGAACAGGGCAAAGCTGACCTTCTACCATCGTGCATTGATATTAATGTTAGGTTTTTGTTTTTTTTAATATTGGTGCTCATCTTTAGAAGCAAGGTAATAATAAACATATTTTTTGAGAAAGAAGTTGACACTAATGTTTGTGAGAGCTTTGTAGTTTTTAAATTGTCTTACACTGGGGACACAGAAAATAACCTTTTTTTAAAAAAATAGAGTTTTAAAAATACCCTTTTAGTAGGATATTGATGTACTGTGCAAGTGGAGAGGTTTATATCTGAGTACGCTGCCTGGTTGTTTTTTTGAGTGTGATTTATGTTCTTACACACCACTTCTCTCCTCTTGGCATCTGTCCTGGACCTCACTATCTTCCTTAGTGAAAGGGATGTTGCTTGTTTTAGAGTTTAAACTTTGCATTTCCATGATTTTATTTATGTGAAAGACCGTTCTGTTGTTATACAAGTCTGTTTTTCTTGTGCTTCTTTTGGTTATACTCACACTGTTATGGAAAAAAAAATGAACCTGTTGCAAGCTACGTAGCAGGTTGCCATAGATCTGCTTGTAGTTTACACAGGGCTGCAAAACGTGGAGACCAATTTAGCATCCAGGCTGTAAAAACCAAGAGAGACAGATTTCTTCTTTGAAATCAAGGAGAATTTCCTCACATGAATTTTATTAAACGACTTGTATTTTGGAATGGAAGCGCAGTACGCTCTGAGAAGGACAAAAAAACGGACGGGAGTGTCTGGTGTTTACTTTCCCCCCATCCTTGGGTAAATCATGATGGAGAGAAAATTGCCATAGACCAAAGGGAATACACTCTCAAAAAGGTGTATGAAACATGAATGTAGGAGAGAATAAGACTGTTGTTGCCATGCAGTGGAATCGTGTGCACATATATATTTTCTTTGTGGGGAGTGGGATGGTGGCCATCCATCAGAGCCTTGAGTTCACTTAGGCTCACATTCAGGATTCCTGTTCTATGGAAAGAGGGGTGCGCCGCATCTTGTCTGGACATTCTTGGTCATGAACAAAGTCTTCAGGGTTGCACCCCAACAGGTGCCCCAATACCTCCCGGGTTTCTTTAGCGAAGGGGAGACAAAATGCAGAACCGTGAGAGCCTTCTGTCCTCGCTCTCTCTCTCTCTCTCTGTGTGTGTGTCTGTCTTTTTTGTTTTTTGTTTGTTCGTTTTAAACCAGGCCGGATGCCCTTGAGCGCATTCCCAGTCATGGTGGGATGCTTTTTGAGCGAGAGAAGCCCAGGGCGACCATATGAGAATGGCCATTTTGGCACTGAGGGGCTGAGATAAACTTCCAGGCTGGCAAGAAGGCGTGAGGGGTGAAGAAACGGTCCATGTCTTTGTAACCAGAGATTGCTGGCAGAGAATAAAACATTGCTCTTATATAATGTCTTTTGTTTTGTTCTTTTTTTTTTTTTGAGACTGCACTAGCTCCTTAAACATTTCTCTTAATAAAACACTTTTGTTTGTAGCATCTGTCTTAACTGAGATAATTATAGATAGGACTGGCTTCCTCAAAGACTCTAATGAAAATGCCACAACCCTTCTTTCCTTCTCTCACATTTTCTTTTAAAGACCAAGCTGGAGATCCAGAGAGCCCTGGCCGAAGACTCCACGGTCTATGAATACGACAATATTTATGATGACATACAGCAAAAGAAGGCAGAGAGTCAGGCCAGCGTGCTTGCAGGAAAAGGGGAAAAAAAGGTCCATACCTGGAAATGAGAGTGACGTCCGCCTTTGCCTTTCTACGCTCACTCGCGAAAGTGTTTGGGCTGTCAAAACTTTTGACTGCATGTGGTGGGCGGTAGGAGGAGGGATGTGGGGCCTCTGAAGGGAAGGGAAAGACCTGATCCAGGGTGGATTTAAGGTCAGCCCTGCCTACATATAATGCCTCATGGAAAATTCAGGTAGGGAGGGATCTGCGGCTGCTATTTGTCATCCCAGCGACAGTTGTATTCTTACAGATTATGTAATCTCTGCTGAGCGCAGCAACTCCAAGGGCTGGGACCCTCTTCCAGTTTCAAGGACTAGGAAGGGAGAGATATGGGGGAGTGACTTCCAAGAGACCCCAGAGGGAAGCCGTAGCAGAGACGTGAGCTGAGGCCTTACAAATCAAGAGTACATTTAGTGGATCCCATTGGCCTCTTTTGCAGATTAGGGTTTTTTTTGGGGGGGGGGATGGGAATAGGGGAGAATAAGGGTAGAAGAGGACTTAATTTTCATACTTATAAGGTGTGCAAAGTTGCCTCCCATTCTCCTTTGCTCTTCTCTGCAGAAAGATGGGCACACCTTCACTGTGTATGTGGATTTTGGAAAGGCCCAGAAAACTTCAAAGTGTTTTCTGACAGAGATCTCAAGAGTTTACGGGAGAGGCTTTGTGGGACAGGGATCTTCCCGCAGAATGAAATTAAGGGGGAGTCAGGGCGTTGGTTCCTGCCGTTGTGGTGCTTCTTGATGATGTACCACGTTTCTCCAGAATGCAAGGATAGCCTCACAATTACGTTATCTCTGGTAGGGGCTGGTGATAGATGCAGGTTTTTGAATGGCGTGGGAGCCAGCCAGAGTTTGGCGGACCTCTGCTCAAGATCCTTGGGTTGTATCAATGGGGATACAACACAAGGTGATGCCATCGATATTCTGTGGTGTTCTTGGTGGCTCTTGTTTCCTGCCCCCTCCCATGCCTTCGTGGCCCTTTGTTCTTTCAGCCCAAGTACATACAAAATATACTCAAAGCTGCCGAACTGAGGAAGAAGGAGCAAGAAAAGAGGATGGAGAAGAAAATCCAGAAGGAACGTGAAATGGAAGGACACGCCTTTGATGACAAGGAAGCCTTTGTAACGTCCGCCTACAAGAAGAAGCTGCAGGAAAGAGCCCAAGAGGAAGAGAGAGAGAAGAGGGAGGCTGAGATTGAAGGTGAGGAAGAGGAATAGGTGTTCTTCCCGTTCTGGGCTAGGTGGGCAAGACTGCAAAATTTGCCTCCCCCCCCCCCCCGGTTTTTTATATTGGAAAAAATAGAAATTAATGAAACATTATTTTTATTTTCATTATTCACGGAGGGAACCCCCCCCCCCCAGTTTTCTAGAATGTAGTTGTCTTTCTTCTTCTTCTCTTCCTTCTTCTTGCTAATGCTTTATCTTCTTTGATTGATGTCTTCTGGAGGAGATGGGAAGAGGGAAACTACCTACTCGTGTTTGTTTTTTATTCTTTTAGTAAAGCTTGGAAGCCACTTTGGGCTCTATATTTAATTGGAAATGTGGGATATGTAAAACAGTTAATTATAAATAAAACAACAGCAATAAATTAGTTTCAAGCCTTTTTCGATTCTCACAAGACATGTTACCATGCCTTTTGTGAGGTAAGTCAGGCAGAGAAAGACACTTGCCCAAGGTGTATTTGGTAACGTGTGACGAAAATCTTCCTTTTCGAAGCAAACACATGTGAGCTGCTGTAGAGACACACGCCCCTTTTTTAAAAAAAACTACTTAGGTATGAACAGCAGCCATACCTAAATTTCTAAAGTTAGTGAAGCTGCTTGGGAGAGAAAAGTCTCTGGGAATACTCATAACCCACCTCTGGGTTATGAGTGGAGATGGGCACAAAAAGAGGAGCTGGAAAGTCATTCCTTAAATATAGATAAACTGATGACTGCTCTTGAGGGTCGACCAGAACATTTTAACATTAGAAACATTAGATCAGAACATTAAAGGGTTCTCAATCAGAACATTAAAGGTGGCTCAAGACATCCCTCGCACAAATGGGGTGGAACTACTGCCGAGCAGGGGATAATTTATGGCCCTGTCGGATCAGTCAGTTTTGACAGCGGATCTCCTGCACTGTACCATCCATATGTAGGTGTATCATATTGAAACAGATTACAAAGTTTCAAAATGATGCAACGTGTCATTTTGAAACTGACAAAGTGTCGCATCCTGCAGTGGATTGTTAATGGTTTTATCTTTTCTGTTCTTTTAGCATGCCTGGATGTGACCAAGCAGAGGGATCTCAGTGGTTTTTATCGGCATTTCCTAAATCAGGCCGTGGGGGAGGAAGCAGTGCCTGAATGCAGCCTTCGTGAAGCCAGGTAAGCTTGGCACAAGGGTGGGCATGCTGGCAGCGGGGGTGGAGGGAGAGTGTGGTTCTCAAGATGCTTTGCTCCTCCACCTCTGTTTTGTACTTCATCGCCCAGAAGGCCAGTGGGAAGGAAATTAAGTGCGAGATGTCAGGAGAGACAAAGGTTGAAGTACACCAGGTTAGAGTTTCCAGTCCTTAGTAAAAGACTAAAGATACCTGCCAGTCAAGCAGCAAAGATAACCATAAAAACTGGAACCACAGACAGAGTTGTTTGTGTCCACGTTACACATGGGTTGGGTGGCACTCTAATGTAATGATTCCCTCCCGATTAAAAGGGGATGGGCTTTCTGGTTGTTTATGGCACGTGTGCAAGTGTTAAGATAAGGCATTTCTGGTTCCCAAGGCAGTTCTTGAAGAAGATTAAAGCAGCAGGAAGAAGTATAAAATAAAAGTTAAAATACCGTATCTTTCTCAGTGGTGGCACAACAGTGCTAGAATGTTACCAGGCCAAGCTGTCTCATTTGTTTCCTCTCAGGCAATTTTGATTGGATGATACTGTGCTGTTCCTGTTAATATCTCTCTTTTTAAAATTGATATTTGCTCGATGCTCTCTTTACTTTAAGGCTTTTTAAAATGTTTCAATTTCAAACCTTTTACTGCTTTTTAAAACAAAATTGGAAGCCAAGGGATCCCTTGAGAGGTAGCCAAGGATGGAATCCATAGTGCTTTTTAGAGGAATAGTGGTGTTAATACAGTAGTTGTCTTTGTCGTGAGCGACTTCCTGTATCCTTTGGTGAAGACTGTGCTCCAGTTTCCAGAGATGGACTCCTCTCTAAATTTAAAATGAACGGCCAAGGAGGTGAGAGAGACAGCAGTGACAGTTGTCTTTCAGGGCTTGAACTGGCTTGGCATTCCCCTTCAGCTGAAATCAGTTTTGGCAAGATGGGTTTGCTATAATGGGTATAATTGTAGAGTATAATTGCTTGAAGGACCACAGCACAGTCATCTATTCGCGGAGTAAGTCCAGGTGTTCCAGATTATTGGGTACACCACCACCCAATTCCTAAGTTCTTTCTCACAAACCAGAAACCATTTTCAGTGTCTAGGAGTGGGGCTCCATCATTCCTGTCCCATGGCTAACAAGATTTAGAGTAAATTGTGCCATACAGGGTGAAAAAGTACAAAATACGTTACACAAAGCAAGAAAATTTGCACAACCTCACTTAGATGGTTTGACGTATTCAAGCTGCAGCATACATGTCAATTCTGCATTTCTGTTTGAAAAATTTGTGATGGTTTGTGTAGGCGATTATAGTAAAATAAATATTTGTTTTGCATCTTTTAAGAATGTCTGCTTCCTTACCAGCCAGCAAAGACTGAAATATGATAAAATCTGAACACAAGTGTTCCTTTTAATTGTGGAACGCCCCATACAATCATAGCTGTGAAATAAACAGGAGCAAGACAGCAGTTGAAATGTTATGTTACTAGACTTCAGGGCTGGGCTGGTTTGACTGGTAACATGTGGATCAGAGTTCTCAGTTGTGGGGAGTGAATTTTATTTTGTGTCTCAAAAAAAATGATCATATATAGGTTGAAAGAAGAGGGACCTGATGAGGATCCTCGTGACTGCAAACAAACAAGACAAAAGGCAGATGATCCAACGAGCCCCTGCGTGCCTGCAAAGGGAGCAGATAACCCCGATGCAGACAGTGACTTGGGAATGGATAGTAGCGATGACGAGGACACTGCTGAAGTACACACAGAGGGTAGAGCTGGTGATGGAAAGGAGACCCAGAGACGCCGTTCGGATTCCAGTGGGAACAGTTCCAAACATCGCAAGAGCCAAAGAGACTCACGGTCGTCCAGTGAGGAGAGAAAACATGGCTCGAAGACACCCCCAAGCCATCCAGAGAGGCAGGAGGGAGGCAGAAAAGGTAAAATGGAGCAACCCAGGGAAAAGGACCGTGAGCGAAGGCACAGAGACCGTGGAAAAGAGGAGCGGCTGAGGTCTGAGGACCGTCCGAGGAGGCAGGATGAACGGGAGGACAGGCAGAGGAGGAAAGACAGGAAGGAGAGAGATGAGTATGACAGAGAACTGAAGAGAGCGCGAGACAGGGAGGACAAGTACTCGCAGTGGGAACAGCAAGTGAAGGAGAGGCCTGCAAGCAGCAGAGACCAAGGCAGGGAAGGGGAGAGGGCCAAAGGGGCCAAGGAAGGCCAGGAGGAAGAGAGCCAGCAGGAGAGGGAAAATGGTAACCCATGGTCCTTGGCAGAAGGTGACCCTGATAGTCAGAAGAGCAGTCTTGGGAGGGGAAAAGAAAACCCATCCGATTCAGAGGAGCTGCCAGAGTTGAAACACAAGACTTCCGAGGAGGGAGCAGAGCAGACTGAGAAACCCCCTGAGAGACCCAACAAGTTTGCAAAGCGTAGCAGCCAGGAGACGGTCCTGTCAGCCAGGGACCGCTACCTGGCTCGGCAGATGGCCCGCGTGGGCACGAAATCTTACATAGAAAAAGAGGAGGATTAGCTTTCCTTGCAGAGGGAGAACCTCGAAAGGTGGAAGGTGCGCTGACGGGTGAACATGCCAGGGCATTGGGGAGTTGCGATTTGTGGTGGACATAGTTTTGCTGGTGACCGAGAAATGACAGGATATCTAGCAAGGAAGCCCTTACGTGGAGAAGACGCAAGGAGAGAAGGTCTGAGTTTGTAGCCCAGGTTAAATGCCTTCCTTGGTCTCTGTTATCCTTGCCCGTCCTGTATCTGATCCCGATTGATTCTCTGCATCTCTGGAACACGGTGAGCCTCTTTGGGGGGACCCTGCCTGGAGTCCCGTCCTATGCGTAAGATTCTTAACAGAAGTTTCCTTGAGCGCCTCCTGCCCAGTTCAAGAGCATAGAAAAGAAGGAGAAATGTGGAGGCAATAAGGGACAAGGAAACACAAGCAAGACTGGCTGTGGAAATCCTTGTTATTTAGTTTTTTTGGCTTCCGCAGTGAACTGTTTGGCTTTTTGTTATTTCACCTGTACAGAAATGTTGAAATAAAAGGAAAGAGGTGAATTTTAAGGTGCCCCGGGCTTTGTTTTATCTCCATGCTAAACCTTAGTTCATTATTATTTCCGTCCATCGAGGAGGATATTAAAACATCAGCCTAAACGCAGGGTGTGTCAGCAATGCCAGTCATCTTTTTGGCTGAGTTACGTTTTCATGTACAGCCTGTTGCGCAGAAGTGATTTCGATCAGGCCTGGTGGGGTCAGAAATGCTGGGGGTTGATTAAGCTGTCAAGAGAAGACGCTTACACTCCTATTTTGGCAAGTGAGCCATCTGGCAGAGGAGATGTTTTCATAATATATTTTCAACAGAACCCTTGGAAGCAGGCATCCTTTCCCACCTCAGTTTCAAATAACCTTCTTTTCAAATGGGAGGCATTGGCACCAACTTGGAAAATTCAAGCTTCCCATCAGAATTATTCGAGATTACTGATTGCCCGTTGACTTGGATGGTGTTTAATTAAAAAAACTGCGGGCAGCGTAGTGTCCCTTAAGCTATCACAGCTGTATATTGCAAATTATCAGCTTTTTTGTTTTTGACCTGAGTTTGCAAATTGTTGTTAAAATATGCTCAAATGAATTAAGTTTAATTTCTTTCAAACCTTTAATCTCAGGAGATCTTGTGTTTTCACCCTCTTTTCTTGAAGGCCAGTGGGAAGGAACTTTGTGTCTTCTTGTAATTACGAAGACAATGGCACCATCTTTGCCAGCTCCAGAAATAGAGAGGTGATTTCCTAGGACTTTGCAGGCCGTCTTTCTTTCTCCCCAGTTAATGATTTTAACAGATTTTGATGAGTGGGCTGCAGATTTTAAGGAAGATGATAACAAGGTCATGTCATTGGTAGCATCACGGAATGGGCTTCCTGTGTAGTTCTGTTTCATTGGGGAGAATATGATCAATTTATTTCTAATTTATTTCTTAGACACCACCAGGCTTTTTATGGAGTGTCCTTATTAGCTTTTGTGTTTCTCCCATAAATGTTGAGAAGCACAGCAAAGTGTTTTGTTTAAACACACACACACACACAACACACACACACACACACACACACACACACACACACACACACACACACACAAATGAAGTCACCTTGCTAAAACAGGACAGGATGGGTTACAACACCATTTCTCAGCTCAGTAGATTGAACCACAATAGGGTTGTGTGTGTGTGTGTGTGTGCGTATACCTATTTTGTGTTCAAGATTGTGTGTTTCTGTGTGAGTAGATGCGGATTGAGCTTGGAGGACTGCTGCTGTCCAAGGTGCTCCATTTGGGAGAAACAAGAAGGTCGTTCTGCTGTCCAGATGTCATTTGGTTTGATTAGATATTAATTAACCACTCAATTTAAAAAAAATCACATTGCAGTAACTGTTAAGATAGCTGTCAGAAAGCAGACAGACATAAACTGGGAGCTGTGAAGGAGGTTTCTGTTGCACTCTTTTTTAAAAAGTCAGTGTGTGAGGGGAGAGAGGATTGTTTCACCCCAGCTGTCGCCTGTCCCTCTGGCTGAGGAGGTTGGGTGGCTGTCCTGCCTGCCGCGGGCAGAGCCCTGCGTATGTAGACGTTTGTACGTAAAGGAATCAGGGCCAGCAGCTTGGATGAACATGGAGGCAGGTTGAGAACCATCCTGATTGTAGAAGAAGGTGGGGGCTCTCAAGGGCAGCTGGCCTAGCAGTCCTGGCCGGGACCAGTGGGAGTGATTGGGTCCAGTCAATTCCATGCGTCAGATTGCAATAGAAACAAAGGCTCATTCTGCACAACAGAGTATGCATTATTCTACTGTTTTCTGCGCTGTTAACTTGACCACCGTTCATCTCCGTTTGCCATGCAGAAGGAGGACGCAGTCTTCCTCTCCAGGCCTCCTGTTTTTAGCAGTCTTGACACTTTGTTCTGTGCCATCAAGTGGCAACTGACCTACAGTGACTCTAATAGGGCTTTCAAGGTAAGTGAGATATTTAAGGAGTGGCTTTACCAGTTCCATACGTGAAACCCCCCCCCCAAAGAGGTTCTATAGCTGAACTGGGATTAAAACCCACATCAAGAGAATCATCATTCGTCACTCTGTCCACAACACCACACTGGGTACCCCTTACATCTTGGGGGGATGGACGGACTGATTTTCATTGTATGCACAAAGTTTGTAACACTTCTGCAATGTGTTTCTTTGAGTGAAGCTTTAAAAAAAAAGTTAACCCCTATTTACTGGGCTTGGAAGAAGTCCCCACCCTCAAAATGTCTTTTACCAGCAGCTGATATGGAGAGGCCATGCTTGCTCTGAGGCTAGAAGGAATGTGTATCCAGTATGAGTCTCATAGCCCCTGGTAGTTTCATCCTCTGTGAATCTGAATCTCAGAGAACAAAGGGATGTATCTGTGTACGTTCCAGGTCACGGTTTAAGGAGCACTTCCATGGTGAGGCCCATGTAGCCTCTTCATATTTCTCTCACCCACCGTGGTGCCGCGGCAGGAGGAACCTGTTCTGTTTGGTTGATAAATGCACACATAAAAGTTTTTGTGGAAGACTGGAATCTTGAAAGCTGTAGGGATAACCAGGAGTGATAACCAAGGGACAGAGATATCTATGTTACTCAAATCTATTTTGTTCAAGAAGTTAAGATCTTGGGAATCTGTGTGTGTTGGTGAATTATTTTCCACTAGACAGGTAGGGGATACAACTGGCAGTTTATTGTGATAAAATTTAACGACGACAACAGTTTACATCGCAAGACATACATGAATCACTTACAAACCAGCTCAAGACGTTCCATGACAAAAGCAGCAACATAAATTAGTGCCGGCGCATTGTATATACAAGTGACAGAGGAATACTTCAGTTTGGTAAAATAAAACTCCAGTTTTAATTTCTCCATACCAAAAAAAAAAAAAA